AATGAAGTAAAATGAAACAATTGTTTAATTTTACCGTTTATTAAATAAATGGTAGAAAATTGAAATACTTTAATTTTTGTGATGGGGCATTTGAGGAAATGTCAAATTCTTGTTTCCCCCAACGCCCCAATGTTTCTTGAAACCAAATGGTGATGTGACACATTTTAATGGGTATTAATCTGAGGTGGAGAGTAAAAAATGTTTAAAGTGAAGCCTAACCAAACAATAAAAACAAAAAAAAAATTAAAATGAAAAAATATAAATAAACATTTAAAGTGAAAAAATACAAATAAACAACCTATCCATAAATGCCCACAGAACCAAAGACATACTAAAAGACTTGGGCTGCAATATCAACCCAACTTGCCCCTACTATGAAGACGACGAAGAATCGCTAATCCACCTTCTTGCCCGGTGTCCGATCACAAAACAAATTTGGTACATTATAGATCCTCATTTGGACCGTACAAATAGTGAAAATATTGAGGAATGGCTTCTAAAAATCAAGGTTAGGCCTAAAGCCAAAGAAGATGGGAGGAAGGTGGCATACATTTTGTGGAATATTTGAAAAAAAAAAAAAGAAATCTTTACATTTCTAAAAACAAGAAGATGAGCCCAATTGAGATTGTTGAAGATGTTGCCTTGGAACTACAGATATATAGTGAAAGCCTGATTTTGGAGGGGAAGTGATGGACCCCAAAAAGCAAGTCCTAATTCGTTGGACCCCCTCAAACCCAACAAATCAAAATAAAGTTTGATGATTCAATCTCTCAGGAAGGGACTGCTGCAATTTCTTGGGTTGCTTGGGATTGTCATGGCGGAATTCTGAAATTCTCTTTCTTATCCATAGGTAAAACTGAGGCATGGGCGGCGAGGGAAGTAGTTCATGGTGTGGTGGATCTGTGGTGCGAGGAAGTGATCATTGTGGGCGACTCTCTACTCACTATTCATTGCATCAATGATAAACCTACTCTTTGATCTTCAAGTAACACCATTTTCAATATCAAAGAGGAAATCGGATTCAGTCAGTGCAAAGCCCATTTAAACACCTAGCCTTGCATTGGGAATATCTCCCATGAAATAAAGTATAAAAGTATGGAGATGTTTCTGATGCAAGGCTGTAAAGGCTGTTTAAACGATCCTTGCACCGACTGAAGCCAATCTCATCAAGGGGGTAATCAGATCTAAGCAGAGGAGCTTCATTTTCAAGTACACCTTCCAAGAAGATGGAGGACTTGTTGGTTTGGGGCTCTGTTAGGTCTTGTACTCTTGTTGGTGTTTTTCAGGGGGGTTGACTGGTTCCATTTTTCCCCAAAACTAGATATTTGCAAAAAAAAAAAAAAAAATTGATTTGGTCAGCAAACTTCTGACCCAGGCAGTTGAACCATTCAACAGTTTTGACCATTTTTTATTTTTTTGTTAGAACGGTCTGACCGTTTGACCTGGGAACTGGTCCCTTGGCCGATTCATTTTACAGGTCGGTTTTAAAAACCTTGATATAAAGGTTTAGGGGCATTTGTCATTGAACCCATAGTAAAGGGGTCTTTGTAATATATCAATAAATTGTCTAGAGTAAAATTCAATCAACAATTGTGATGTAGTAAAAGGAACCTTATGGGAACTCGGGAATAATTACATAATATCAATTTGACATTGATGCTCTGTATAATGGATTGACCCGATGCCAGTATTCATTGCGAACACAAAATTACAAACCTCACATCACACTGCAGTGCAGCAATATGGGAGAATTTGTGAGGAGCAAGATAAGGTTGGTGCAAGGGGGAATTTGTGAGGAGCAAGACTATGGAAGTGCAAGTGATTTGAGTGTAAATGCTGACCTATTTCTATTTCAAATTTTAACTTATTTTGTTTGATAATACAAAAGAAGTAAATTAAGGCATGAAGCAAAATAAAGTAAAACCCAAAACAAAATTAAATGAGAATTTCATTTTTTTTTATTTGCATTCCCTTGCATTTTACCATCTAACATTTTTCCCCTCCTCGTTATTGCACTATGATTTTGGTCTGGGCAATAATCGGATCAAATCAAATTGGTATTATAAGTTTATATTTGAAGTCGAATATGAACTTATCCAGCTAATATATTTTATGAATAAAATTAATGGAAAATTATTTTATAAAACTTGAACTTATCAAAATTTAGTAAAAATGAAGTTAAAAATATAGTATGGTAGATACGATTTTTTAACCCATTGGTACTCAAAATACAAACCAAGGTTTTGATAGTTTTAATTTATTTAAATAAAAATTTTTATGCACCTATCGAGCCAAACAAATAAAATATAACATAAATACCAAAGTTTCAAAAAACTTGATACATAATGTATGGTTACTATGCGTCTCGATACTTGGAACCTTGCTGAAAACACCGACATCTAAATCAATTTTATTAATAGTTTACTACTAGGGGTGTTCAAGGTTCGGTATTTGAACCAAATTGATTTGGTCGGTTTCTTAATAATTTGTACCAAAACCAAACTTATGCAACCGGTTAATCTTAGATTGGTTTTTCAGTTGTTTTTGTGAATTAACCTTTCACTCAAAATAAAAAAAAGGAAAAAAAACCTTCCCTCCATCAAAATCAATTTACATATTAAAATAAATTGATTTAAACAAACTAAGCTATTAATCAACATTCATTCACTCATTCAATAACAATCCAAAAAAATAAAAAAAATACACTATAAATTAACAATCTGAAGCCTGTAGGCATGTATATTTATGCAAAAAAATACACCATAAATAATATTTATGCAAAAAATAAAAAAAAGGACCTTAAACAAGTTGAAGGCCTAAAGTTGAACTTGGTCAATGAACACTAGAGTGGTGGCCAATTTTCCGGTGTCAGATTAGTTGTTGTCGCCTGAACCTGAAGTGAGAGGTGGCGGAGATGATAGGTGTTGCCAAAGAGGGAGTAGTTGGTGCATGGCTTTCGTGTCTTGGTGCTTGCTGGCGACCAGCATTGCCACTTGGCGGTTGGCGCAGAGCGGTGAAAGAGATGACAAGCGAGAGAGAGAGAGAGAGAGAGAGAGAGAGAGAGAGAGAGAGAGAGTGGGAAAGAGTTCTGTTTGAGCCTTTTGGCGCGGCCGTAATAGAGAAGGGAAGGGGAGAAGTTGTCGGACGAAGACCGTCGACCGATGCTGGCATCAAATGACGGAAGATGATGACCGACGCTGGAGGAAAGAAAGGGGAATTGGGGAGGAAGACGAACAAGAGTAAAGCAAGAGTTTTCAATGTTGGTATTAGCCTTTATAGTCTGTTTGGTTGGTGCAACCGAGAAGAGAAAATGGGAATATTCTCCTTAGATTCCCATTTTCATTCGTTTGTTTTGCGACATGGACTGAGAAACAGTGAGATGAAGTGTCTCAAAACTTGGAATGAGTGAGAAAGGAAACCACATGTGAAAAAAGAGGTCTGGTGGAGGCACATTGAAATAGTTGCACTGAAATAGTAGTGGTGTCGTCAGATCGTCGATGACGTCAGAGGTCTTGTGGAGGCGTACTCAAAATGGTTGCTTGCCTCTGGTTCAAGTAGCAGAGACAAGCGAAGAAAAAGATGAAGAAGAAGAGGAAAAAAAAAAGAAAGAGGGAGAGGAGGAAAAAGAGGAGAGATATCTGAGAAATCGACTTGATCGATTGAAAAATCTCCTCCTCTCTTATGGACCGAAAGGACTGGACCCCCTTGGTGCTGAAGAGTTCAGTAATAGATATCTTCCTCATCTCCTCAAGCATTCCCTTCTCATTGCTATTCTTGTCGAAGAAACCACCAGTGCTGGTTTGGAATCGAGTTGTAGAGACATAAGCGGACCACATCTCAAAAAGCTGGCGTAGCCTACGATGACGAGATGAAGTTGTTGTAAATTTTCCTTCTCATCAATCAAACACCAGAATGCCAAAATGAGAAAAATAAAATTTCCCTTCTCATCCCATTCCTTCTCAACAACCAAACAGACCATTAGGTATCGAAAAAGGGGAAAGGGAGAAAACTCAAAAAGTCAAATGACGGTAGGTTTATTTTAATTTAAAAAAATAAAAATAAATTATATAATACAATAATATATTATATATAATACATAAATATATATTGCTGTATATATAAACTGGTCGGTTCGGTTAACCGTTGGTTTTTTTAAAAGGTTAATCGAAACCGAACCGATTGGTTCAATTTGGTCTTGTTCGATTTTTCGGGCTTTCTTGCTCACCCTTGTTTAATACTAATGCTAGGGCATGTTCTATGTCTTATGTCAATGAGTCGGGTTTGGCACGGGTTTGCCTCAACCCTAACCTGATCCTACAGTGCCTCAACTCAAACCTGACTCGACTCTCCTTAAAATACATAATTTCTGAACCCGACCTAACTTTTAGCATTTCAATTATATTTTTTAACATGTTTTAAAGACCTAAAATCCATTAATTTAAGTTAAGAAATTGTTTTATAGAATCTAAGATGTTACTTTTCCCGTTTAAAAAAATAAGAAAAAAATCAAAAACATGTAAATAAATCTTAAACTTAAAAGCTATAGAGTTAGAAGTCAAAAAGATAAAAGAATACTTTGTATGTGTGCAGGGTATCATGACCCAGAGGGGCGGGTCAGCCAAAACCCGAACTCGGACCTGACTCAAATTGAATAATCAAAACCCTAATCCAACCCTAAAGCCAAATATATTGACTCTAACCTGGGTTTATCATTTAACCCAATCCATTAACATCCCTATATGCAAGCAAACGTAAAGATATAAATTAGTATTATCTTATTAAATTTAAATTTTATGATTTGCACCAAAATGAATGCAATTGTATAGATGTACTATACAAATTTTTGTATATGATTATATATATGGAATTAATCTAACTGGATAGGGCTGGATCCATATTTAATTCAATTATAAACGGATTGAGCTCAAAATCTCAAATCACCCTACATGAGATCATATTCTAATTTGAATTCGGGTTCGACTGTGGCCTGTGGGAGAATGTACAGTCAACAATAGAGAAGTAAGTATTGCAAGTAATCAAACCATCGGTCACCCTTCGGGATAGGCAGTAGAATGTACAGTCATAATCACAGATGCTTCCATCAAATTTACAATCTCACTGTTTCTTATAATCTTGGGTGGCTTATATTGACTGGCTGATGCTCCGTTCTCCATCGCTACTTGTATCAATCTATCGAAACTACCAGGCTTCACAATAGATAATACCAGAGGACCAAGATCTCCTCTTCTCCTCTGCACATTATATAGACCTCCCAAGCATTCCTCAACAGAGGAACAACATTTTCTGAGGACAAGAGTTGATTCCTCCACCTTATCATTCTGCAGAAAAAAACACCCATCCATGACTTCCACAAAAATTGTCACCCGATTTGGTTTTGACTCCATGTCCGAGTAGCTTGTGAATTCTGTAACTTCTACCATGGCTTCATCTCGCAACATGACTTGCAATCTTTCCATGGCGGACATTAAATCTCTTTCTGTAAAAACCTCACCTGCAGCTTTTGGAGCTCTCATGACATATTCCAATTCTGGAGACAAATTATGGAAGCCCAAAACTCTCACAATATCACCCAGGCGGAATCGGTACAGTCCTCTGTAAGTAGTAACAACTACTTCATACATCTTCCCTATTTCCACCCCAGAGATATCCACAGTTTCTTCAGCAGCGCCATGGTTGCCGGCCAAATCAAAAGGAAGGAACTCAAAATAAGCAGCAGTAGGTAGCAGAACGTATCTGGTCTGTTCTGGTGGTTGGGTTCGATCCAAATTAATAGCAATACAGCATTCAGAAGCAAAGTAATCACCACCCAGAACAGGGATCTCCCCTGCGTAATACTTGATTAATGGATAATACTGCTCCATAGTTCCAGTACTCACACAAGTAACATACCTCAAATTAGGCCATAGCTTGCCTAAAATCCCACCAAACTGTCGGCCTTCAGGAGCAGTTCGAATTGTCTTTGACAGTTCTGGTTGTGGACCACCAAGTAGCTCTGCAACAGCATCCCTCATTGAAACATCGGTGATCATCGAACTCACAGACCCGTTTTCAAGATCATTGCAGAGCTCCTCCCACTTGGATTCCAGGAGACGAAATGCTCTCACCAGACCTGCTGCATATGGAGCTCGAATACCATCAACCGAGTTTGGGTTTCTCAATCCACAGAGAAGGTGGCAGTACATTTGCTGCTGAAGGTCCGATCCCAAGATGACTTCTCGGGGACTCACGCACATGGACAGCATTGGAGAAGGGCTGCTGCTATTGCTATGTAGAGGGTATGCAGAGGCAGCCATTACCTTAAATCCCCCTTTAGTCACTGTAACATTGCCAGCATAAAGAAACCATAGAACCTTATTGACTGAAGGACCTGGAGGAAACAACCTAAAGAAGAAATCAAGGAATTCCACCCACCATCCTTTAAGAACATCTTCTGATCACATCAATCGATGACTCAAGAAGAAAATCTGAAAGAAGTATGAAAGACCCACAAATCTGTTACCTTCGAAGAAGTGCAGAGCTACCCTGGTGAGCCAAGAAAGAGGCAGCTCTTGAGTGTGTTGAATTAAACTGAGGGATCATTTTTGGCTTCATAGAACTTGTTCCAGAGCTGTGGGAAAACAAGAATGTTCTTCAATTTTCGAAACATTAAAATGAACGATAGAGAAGGAACAATCTTATCAGAATTGAATTGTTTCAAAGTGAAAGCAAACTAAATCATGAGATTAGAACAATCCTAATTGTTTTCTCAAATTAAGAACCACTCCTATCACAACCCAAAGCTTGTCAAGAGAAAATCTACTGATAGATTAAATAGAAATCACAGGGATCAAACATTAATCAAACAGAAAGATTCAAACTCGAGAGGAAGAGAGAGACCTGTAGAAGAAGCAGATTAGAGGATCAACGGAGAGAAGGGAGGGATGATCATCGGCGCCGTCGGCCATGCGATTGATGAGAGGGGCGTAGTCGTCGTAAGAGGAAATGGGTACGAAGCGGCGAAAGGTTTTGTCGTCGATGAGAGCATTTTGAAGATAGGGCCGCAGATAACTTACGCCCCCATTGTGTTCGAGAATTGTCTGAAGGGTCTCGAGTTGCAGACGAGGCGCTTCCCGGGTGCAGTCCTCCAGCTTCCGTAGTATCTCTTCGTCGGTCATCGCCGATGGCCTAACAAGAAGGAAAGAGGTGATTAGGTAGGGAAGGATATGGTGGTGACGCACTCACTGCAATCGCGCAGATCGAGTCTCGGAGGCCGGAGCTTTGGCAGGAAGACGATACCGCTCGAAGAATTCCAGAAAACCGCCCTTCTTGTCTGAAAAACGAAAATTGCGAGAAATTTAATTCTATGTATGAATGGACTAAAGTACCCTGCAGTTGGGGAGATATTGTCATAGACTTTTCATTTGACCTTTGAATGGTTTAATTGGTCATTACACACCCCAGCCGTCGGAGAAGGATTCTCTCTCTAAATGCCTATAATCAATATAATAATGGAAATAGTAGAAAGAACGCATCTTGATCATCATCGATCGCTCTCCATCCTGTGCTAGAAGGGTGGGCTTGAGTCTGAATTAAGCGAAAAATGGGCCCTTATTGCCCTAGCTTGGTCCAAATGTTGGCTGGGCTGTGGACTTGCTTGAGAAAGATGCTTAGAATTGGGTAAGGCTTGGGCTTTATTGGCTGATAAATGTTAATGAAAGGATACTGATTGATGTAACTCATCTAAGTATTGTTCTGGTATTTCTGCTTAAGGGATTTAGAACTTAGCGTTTGACGTTGAACGACATGACTTAACAAAATTCATTCCAAGTCTAGATCATCATATCAGGACTCTACCCATACTCTAAATTTGTCCATCTTCGCTAAGTAATAACAAAATTATTGTATTTGGCTAGTATTGCATATATTTTCAGGTTGCATTCAAGACTCAAGAGTATGATCTATAACAAAATTATGGAACTTCACCTTTAACGCTTAAAAAAAAAGGTATGATTTGTAAAGTTAAGAAGGACATGATATTGAAAATTTAGGGGATGTTTGGTTCCGTTGGCGTTTATTGAAAAAATGCTGTCACATTAATGCCACATAGGCGTTAGCGTTTATTGCAGATGAAGTAAAATGAAACAATTGTTTGGTTTCACCGTTTATCAAATAAATGGTAGAAAATTGAAAGGCTTTAATTTTTATGCATGGGGCATTGGGGGAAATGTCAAATTTTTGTTTCCCCCAATGCCCCAGCGTTTCTTGAAGCCAAATGTTGATGTGGCACACTTTAATGGGTATTAATCTTAGATGGAGAGTAAAAACTGTTTAAAGTGAAGTTCAACCAAACAACAAAAACAGGAAACATTTAAAGTGAAAAAGTATAAATAAATGTTTAAAGTGGAAAAAATGCAAATAAGCGCCCTACCCATAAATGCCCATGGAACCAAATACATACTTAAGCTTTGCTCGTTAAACAACAAGTCATTTATTTGGATAAATGCGTTACTTGAATGAATATTTACCAGGTGTTTTTTTTTTTTTTTTTTKTTTTTCGGGTAAAATTATACAATAACCATTTTATCCATAAAAGCTGTCGTTATTGAAAAAACAACAATGTGCCATAACAATTTTTTACACAGACATAAAAATGATTTACCCAAGTCTCAACAAGATATTACTTATCTAGTTAAATGAACCCAAGCCTCAGGAATCATTGTTTTTTATGAGACCTGTTACTATCAAAATGCAAATGCAAATTTTTTTTGGGGGGTTTTACTGTTCAGTCCACCCCTAGGTGGAGCTACTACTAGACTAGGGGTGGACTGAATCTTGCCTGTGGATTGATGTCAAATTTACGGGCTGGATGTAGTTTATAGGGAGCTACTAATAAACTAGAAGGGGGCTGCAAATTCAATTTCTGAGGAGGATTACAGTTCAAAAATCCCTTTATTTTTTTTATGGGACCCACCAACTTACAGTCCTCCGTTTACCGAAAAACAAATGCACCATTGTGGTAATCAATCAGGTGGATTTTATCAAAATTCATTGAAGGCATTTGATTGGCCAAATCCCTTTCAGTATCATGTATATGTATATAGATATAACACAAAAAACAAACACATATTCCTTCACCAACCTAAGAAGGAATATGAACGAGTTGCTGAGGGTCATACCATAGGAGATAATATTAAAAAACTGATTGATTATTGTAAGAAACTATAGCTTCATTGACAATGAAATTAAATCCAAAAGCTCATATTCTATAATCCATACAAATTAATAAAATTTAAAGGCTTTGCTTGGAATAATAGAAATGTTATTAATTATTATTATTATTATTTTTTATATATGCATGTCAGTATATATATATAGGACCAACACCGTTAACTGTCGTTGTATCAAATTCAATTGGGAGTTGAGATTGGCTACAAGGAATTCTCAAACCTTGGATTGGAAACAAAGGGTCACATTCCCAGGAGTACAAGCAAACATTTTCTTACTCGATCCATTTTTACGTACAAGCAAGCCCACCCCTCCTCTCCCTCTCTCTCTCTCTCTCTCTCCCTGTATATATATATTAATTCCATTTCATGTTAAAACATGTTGTCTGTAACAAAAAATTAAGAAGAAGAGTAGCTACATCAGAGAGAGAGCCATTAACACAGAGAAGACTAGAGATATCCAAATGGGTGGCAGCAGGAAGACATACCCAAACTCAACGGTGAGGGCTCTACAAATCGTCCAAGACAAAGCACTGACTGGGATAGGCAACCTGATTAAGCTTCTCCCCACTGGAACTGTGTTTTTGTTCCAATTCCTGAGTCCAGTCCTAAGCAACAATGGGCAGTGCCACACCATTAACAAGTACTTGACTGGTATTCTGCTGAGTTGCTGTGGCTTCTCTTGCTGCTTTTCATGCTTTACAGACAGCTACAGAGATAGGAATGGAAGCACTCACTATGGGATCGCAACCAAGGATGGCCTCTGGCCTTCCCCTGCAGACTCGGAGTCGGTGGATGTATCAAGCTACAAGCTTCAAATGGGGGACTTTGTTCATGCCTTCTTCTCGCTGATTGTATTCATGGTGGTGGTTCTGCTGGACCCTAACACGGTGGAGTGCTACTATCCCTCCTTCAACTCCAACCAGGAGCTGTTGCTCAAGATACTGCCTCCCATTGTGGGTGCCCTCTCCAGCTCGGTGTTTGTCATCTTTCCCAACAAGCGTCATGGCATAGGGTACCCTTCAAGCTAGCTAGGGTCTTAGCCCTAGCGCGCCCCAGAGTCTTAACTCTTAAGCCTAGCCTGCTGAATACTTACAGATGTGCTTGTTCAATTGTGAAGATTGGAGGGGTTGGAGTGGTTGAATTATTTTCTTGTCTGTGTATGCATGTCACTATATATATGCCTTGATTCTTCTGTCAATTACTGTAAGTGTTTGATTAATGATTCATGCTTCTGTCGATGGTATTAATTTGTATCAACACATTAACAATGAACTCTCTCTCTTAAAGCAATTAGCAATGGCTCCCACCTGATTACCCACTTAGACCAGTGCTGACAAGGTTTTGCACTCTGTATATTTGTATTTGTACTCTTCTAAACTGAGTCATGTTCAATTTAAGATTACAAATGCAGATATATAGTGAAAAACCTTATATTTTGTATATATTTATACTCTTTTCAAATTGAGCCTACTGTTGATTTGACGGGACAGGATTTCAAATAGAATCATACCATGACATTGACAAAGAGTTCGCACTTACCGCTACCTCCACACCCCTCAAAGGTTCACAAATGTGGTAGTGGAGGCCTAAAACTAACGAGACCACCGGATCTGGTCATCACAGATGGCGCCTCACACCAACCTCATAGGCACATTTCATTGTGCATTAGGAATATTTCCTGTATTTATGAGTGATTATTTATGGGAAATGTTCCCAATGCACGGTTTGGTGTGCCAGTTAGGTCGCTGTGAGGCACCCTGTGTGAGGAGCAGATCCCAATTAAAAACTAACTATTATGGTTTTAGATATATTGCTGTGGCTTGCCGTCAAGACATTAATTCATCTCATTTAAATGGGGTCAAGCCACATCAAAGGCTTTGATCTAGTTATTTTGCTCTCTACATTGCTGTAGCAAAAGTGGTTTGTAGGGCTCAATTTGAGAAAAGTATAAATACAAATATATACACTACAAATATAAGGCTGTGTTTGGTTGCAGTACAATTTTATTTGTACTAGTACAAATGATTGAGAGGGCAAATGAAAATAATGCAAATTCTGGTTTAATTTTGTTTTGGGTTTTAATTTATTCTGCTTCAAGTCTAACTTTACTTCATTTGAACTCCAATCAAAACAAAATAAGGTAAATTTTAAAATTAAAAAAATCATAATTTACATTGAAATCATTTGCACTTCCATGGTTTTGCATTAATGCAAATAAATTTGCATTGCAACCAAACACAGCATTAGGATCAGTTTTAAAAGAGTATAAATGCAAATATGTATAGACAGAGGGAAAAATCTTGTACTTTGTATATATTTATACTATACATATTTGCATTTCTACTCCTAAACTGAATATAAGAAGGAATATAAATATATATACAAATATGTAGAGTGTAAAACCATATATTTTGTATTATGTTGTATATATCTGTACTATATATATCCAAACTGAGCCTAAAATGCAAACGTTTTAGCATTTTGCAATAAATTTAAGACATCACATCAATTGATTTTATATTTCAAGTGTCTTCACATTTGATTGGGGTTGCATGCGAGTTGCAATATGATTGCAGGAAATGTTTTCTTGGTTCGTTCACATTTCATGAGGGGTTACATGCAACATGCATGGTAACAAGAAATGTTTTCTCAATTAAATAACTATATACTATCTTTCGGTGTAGTTACCAAGTTGGACTGCAAACTTCAAATTCATATCCAATCCAAAATCCTTTCGGATGTTATTTATTATCATTGAAATAAAAATTTAAAATTTAAAAGTTATTTTTTTTATTTTGATAAATTTACCAAAGTGCAAAAAATATTGAATTTATTAATTATCAAATTTATATAATTATATATAATAAACAGGAATGCATTTATTGCCAAAAGAAACTCGAATTATATTATATAATCTATATGTATAATAGAAAGAGGGAAAAGGGGAGGTGAGAGGTTTTCTAACCATAGAGCTCATACATCTTCTTCTCCTATTCTTTCTCACACATGTGCATATTTATTTTTAAATTAAATCATTAAAATTAAAACTCTCGAGTGTCCTCATTATATCTCATAAAATCCATATTTACTTTTTAATAAGATCATTCTTAAATCTCTCTCTCTCTTTCTCTATCTCTTAATAGTCAACGATCGTAACATCTCCCCTCCCCATTAAATCCCTAATTTTCTCTTAAATATATTTTAAACCCTTTTGACTCTCTCTAATAAAGTAGGGGTGCAAATTAGATGGATTAAATTAGATTAAGGGTCAATCCTAAATATGAACCTTAGCTTGGAACCAATCTAATGTCATATCTCAAATTTGCCCACCTATTACATGCGGTGGACCAATCTTCTTCTTCTATTAAAGTCTAAAGAAACTATTGCTCCTTTCCATATGTCATCAGGTTTTTCTCTCCTTTGGTTATCTTTATTATTTCAATTTTTAATTGTTTTTTTTTAACTTCGTTATTTGTTGATATCATGCTAAGCACATTTTTATGCTTCATAGGGCTACACAACCATGCGACCAGGAAGGAGGGATAGTCTATACCCCAAACCCTTAACCCCAACCCTAATGGCAATCAGATTAATCCTAGGTCTCCACTACAACTAGCCAAAGAACCTAGCAATTAAGCCACCATCAATTGGTTCTCATGCTAAGCAGTTGATTTGTATGCTTTTCATGATATATAATCTATATAAAAAGGAATAAGTTTGAAGCTCAATCACTATTACTTAGCGGTGGCAATTGGGTGGGTTGGGTTGGGTTTGGTTTGCGTTGAGCTTCAACCTAACCCACCTAACCCGCCAACCCATTAATGACCCAACTATATAAAATTAAATGGGTCAGGTTCAACCCAAACCCACTTTAACCCAATCCAACCCACCCAAACCCATTAATCTTATATTTATGTACTTAAAAAAAAAAGACTAATTCTTTCTTGACAAATAAGTTGGTCATAGCTTGGTGGTAATAGTAGTTGCTATTTACATAATTGGTGAAGGTTCAAAGCACACACATTACATGCATGTTATTTTTATACAAGCGGTGAAGCCATTTGACTATGTTCGGGTTTTGGGTTTGACCGAACCACTTAGGTTCAAACGGTCAGACCAACTTGTACTATCTAATTGGATTGTCTTCGAGCTAATCACATGAAGGGTGGTTGAACCGTTTAGATCTAGGTAAATCCGATCAAACCAACCGAACCGGTTTAGTCAATGGCGGATTGACTTGGATCAGCCCATATTAGGTTTGTGCATGGGTTTGGGACCGAACCGATTGGCCCAAAGTGGGCCAACATAATTAAATCGAACCGGTCCAGATTTGGGTCATGTTGTGTTGTGTGGATACAGGCTGAACCAGATGATCTAAACCGGGCAAAGCAAGCGGAGCAGATTTTGGGTCAGTTCGGGCCGAACCATCCCGCCATGATCCGTTCAGGTTGTCCGACCCTAATGAACTGAACTAAGGTGATTGGGTCTGTTCATATTTAGACCAAGTTGAGTTGATCAGAACTCGGGTCAAATTGATTTGGATTTATGTCGATTTGGGTAAAGTGTGTTGATTCAAGACAAAACTAATTTTAGTCAATAATTAATAGAAAATTAATACATTAATTATAATTAATACATTAATTATAAATTATCCCTAACCTAATCCATTTAAATTAACCCTGATCAACCCATTTCCAACCCGCCAACTAAATGGGCAGGTTGGGTGGATTAAGCGGATTGGCTGAAAAATTACCACCCCTATAGTCACTCCATTTTTTGTTTGAAAGTATATTTTTAAATAGCAACCTGTACATTGCACGGGTCGGTGCTAATACATTATTATATTACTTTAAAGATCTGTCTAGTTGCTAAGGTCTTACTGGTTGCACCAGATATTTTGGTTGGGGATTATGGGTGAACCGTCCCCCTGAACTTGTAAAAGTAAAATTATTAAATTATCAATATGAGATTCCAAGGACTCACATCATCAAATATCAGGGTAAAAAACAAAAACCTCCCCTATAGTTTAACTTTAGTAAAAACCTCCTTTTAATTTTAAAAAAATTTACAAAAACCTCCTTGACTAAGACGGGAAAACGTTAAATCGATGATATTTTTTTTTAAATACCTATTTTACCCTTATACGAGTTATTGTATACCTATGTTTACTAAAATATCCTTTGCCCTCTCTTATTATCCTGGTTCTTGAAGAATGGGTGAGGAACAAACAATGAAGAGGGGCAACTGGAGAACGAACCAGGAAGAGGAAAGAACGAACCAAGAAGGGGGGCAACTGGAGAGGAACGAACAGAGGAATGACGAATCCAGGAAGAACGATTTAGACCAGGTGATAATTAGAAACCAAAGCCTGAGAGGTTATATTCAGTCCTACCCAGAATTAGTAGCGGAAGTCTAGAGGGAATTACAACGGAGTCCTTCGGGAGGATACAGAGTTGTGGAGGAGGAGGAGAATGGATTATTACAAGAGTGTGAACAATCAACTGGGACACAGAAGGGGAGGTATCGGAATTTGCTGGATATGAATGCTCACCTGGGTGGATTTGCAGCTGCTGCCATCGATGATCTGGTTTGGGTCGTGAATGTAGTCCCTACAGAGGCAAAGCTCAACACACTTGAGCAATTATGAGTGTGGACTGATTGGAACATATCAGAACTGGTAATTAAGCTTTGTGCTCTACTCAGAACTCGTATTTAATTCATTCAAAATATGGAGTTTGCCGCTAATCGTGTATATTGTTATTAATCTGCTTTTCTTATTGAAGGTGTGAAGCCATGTCTACTTATCTTAGGACATATTATCTCCTTCACGCTGATTCAGTTTTTAGCCTTTACAAGGGCAGGTGATTTATCATTACAGAGAGATTTCTCAGTAGTTTGTTTGATGTGAAATGGAAGATATTCTATTGGAGATGGACAGAATTCTTAGGCCAGAAGGCACTGTAATCTTCAGAGATGATGTGGATGTTCTGTTGGAGATCAAGAGCATCACAGATGGAATGAACTGGGAAAGCAAGATTGTGGACCACGAGAAGGGGCCTCTTGAGAGGGAGAAGCTTCAGTTTGCAATGAAGACATATTGGGCAGCTTCTTTCAACATGATTTGTTCAAGCTTTTTTTTTTTGGTTTATCTGTTAGGATTGAATGAATATACACCAATCAGAGGAGATGACCCACCTCGCCAGTCAATGGGCTCTGCCTCTTTGGAGTTGGCTTTTACACCAAACAACTTTTAGCCATTGATTGGTGTACAATAACTCGTCCAGGGGTATTTTAGTAAACATAGGTATACAATAACTCGTATAGGGGTAGGGGTAAAATAGGTATTTTGAAAAAAATTATCATCGGTTTAACGTTTTCCGTCTTGGTCATTGATGGAAGGGAGGTTTTTGCCGTTTTTTTTTTTAAACTAGAAAGGAGGTTTTTGCTAAAGTTAAACTATAGGGGAAGTTTTTATTATTATTAGAAACTTCGGGGGAGGTTTTTGTATTTTACCCAATATCAAAATGACAAAAATAAACATAACCAAGTAGAATGGTTGTAGTTTGGGGTTTTAGAAATGTTTAAAGGCACAGAATTGACTAAGGCTCCGTTTGGTTTGTGGGATGGAGATGAGAACTTTTTCTCTCATTTGTTTTGAGGGAAATAGAGAGATGGGACGAGAAAAGTGTGGGATGTCAGATCCTAAAATCATGGATTTGGGGTCGCACCAAAACCATGTGACCCCGATGGAAAAATTTGAGGAACCACTATAGAGAACCAGCGACGACGAACAAAGGAGGGAGAGAATTGGTGCCTTCCCCATTACCATCGGCGCTTTGCTACCTCCCCTTCCCTATTCGAACCCAGAAACAGAGCAACGACACTGACACCCCTTCTTAGCCACTCCCTTCCTCCCTGTCTCCTCTCTTCATCTCTTTCTTGTTCTTCCGTTTTTCACCCAAAAAAAAACCACTATTCATCATCTTCTCGACAACGAACACAGGAAATACCAGCGACGGTGACCATGATCATTTACCCTCTAGTACCTCTCCATTCATCGTCTTCGCTTTCCACCAACGAACTACTGTCTCTGGCGGCACTGTTCATCCTTTTCGCTTGCCGCTGGCGAACTACTGTTCGTCTTCCTCTTGGTGATATAGAGCACCCCATTGTTCATTGTCTTTGCTTTCCGCCGGCAAACTACTATTTGTCTTCCTCTTGGTGAAACAAAGCATTGTTCTTCATCTTTGCTTTCCTATTGTCATAGTGTTTTTCTCATTGTTTTTCCATATATAAAACCAAACAATGGAAGAGTAAATTTTTACACTTTCCCATCCCATCCCATCCCACACAAATCTTCCCACAAACCAAACGGAGCCTAACAGAATGCCAAGGGAAAGGGCAAATTGCTGGATTCCGAAACTTGTTAACAAAAGTACAAAACTAACCGAGTTGAAAGCAAAAACGCATGGGAATATAAGAATTAAGGAGCCACACCCAAACAAAGCGGAGCCTTGTCAAAATGTTGTTTTAAACCGGAGAATTTTAGGTGGATTTGTAAATTATGTTTAGTGCAAAATCTTGTATACGGTGTTCCAGTGCAAATATGCAAATATGTGATGTTCAGTGTAATGGGAAGAATGCAAATATATACAAACATGTTTAGTGCAAAACCATATATATACATACATACATAGACACACACACACACATACACACACACACACACACACATATATATATATATATATATTTCTAAACTTATGTTTATATTGTACATATTTATATTTACACTCTCCAAACTGAGCCTTAGAAATTAATTGTTCCAAATTTCAATCTCCACGACCAATTTTAAGGGAATTATTCAATTAAAGTCTCGGGTAAATTGTTAAAACCTCCCCTGAAGTTTCTGGTTATTGCTAAAGCATTCTCTGAAGTTCAGTAATTGCAATTACCTCTCTTAAACTTTTTAACATAGTTGCATGTGGCTATTTTTGACCAAAATGTTTATTTTTCAAATTTTTTCTTTGTATAAATAACTAGTCCAAACCCTTTCATCACTTTTCTGAAATGAATTTATTTTCCAATTTTTCCCTTCATATTAGTAACTCAAAGGTGAAACAACAACTTGAAATTCTCCTTTTTTTTCCTTTTGTTGTTTATAAAGTTTGTATTTTTTTTTCTTTTTTTGTAGAAAGCAGCCTCAATAATAATTGCATAAGTATTTTAGACATTTTAGTGAATTTTGTTAGAAGATTATAACAGAAGGGGTCTACTTGCAACTGTATTAAAAAGTTTAGGGAAATTGATTGCAGTTAACAAACTTCAAGGGAGATTTCGGCAAGGGTCCGAAACTTCAAGGGAGGCACAGCCGGCAAGGTCAATCCCTGAACTTCAGGGAGGCACGGGCTATCAACGACAGAAACCTATTAGACAGTTTTTAGAAGTTCAAATACTGGAGAGACATCTTGAAGTTAGGGGACTGACTTGAGACAACCCCTTCCCTAATTTTTTAATTCACCATTTATTACGTGTAAGTGAAAACGTTCTAAGAAACTGGGTGAAGCAAAATCAGTTTCATATGAAGAAGCTACAAGTTTTTTTCTTGGGATTTTTGGACTGTAATCCCTCTCAAAAATTTAATTTACAGCCCCCTCCTAGTCTTCTAGTACCCCCTATAAACCGCATCGTACCCATGAATTTGACATTAATCCATGGATAGGATTCAGTCCACACCTAGTCTACTAATAGCTCCACCTAGAGGTGGACTGAATGGTGAACTGAAAACCCCTTTCTTCTTCTTATTTAATAATTAATGTATGCAAGCTTCCCCGTCCCATGGAGCATATTTGTGTTTGGTAAGAATACCATCCCAAAGAAGTTTTCAAATAACAACTGAAATCTAAGGAGGAACATTTGTCTAAGATAGAAACTTTCGGTTGAAAGGAGGTGAAGAAGTAAGTGGTGGGGACTGGGGAGGGACATTACCATTTCAGTGATAGACTGAAGTCAACTTACAGGTTTCTTTTTTATAGGCTTCTTCAATGGACCGGTTTTGAGTTGGAACTGTACAAATTGGATGGACCCATAAGACATTAAATTGAACCAGTCCAGACTTAAATAGTCCAAAGTACTTATGGAATTGGATTGGACCTAATCCATCTATAATAGATTTATATTGAATTGGGTCATATTGAACTAATATCTTATTCATTAATAGAAGACAATAATACAGGTGTAAATGGATTAGGTTTGAATTGAAACAAATATAAATTAAAACCAATTTGAACAGATTGAATGATCCCAAACTGATCCAAAATAATTCAAAGTATTCATCGAATTGGATTAGACATAGTCCATCTGTAATGGGCTCATATTGAATTGAATGGGATCGGACCAATCCCAGTCCAATTGATACCTCTATTGGACACAAACAGGGGATCAATAAATAGTCGGTGTATCATCCCTTGATTGATGATTCCAGGAGTTGTCACCATTCAGCAATTCAGCCGTCTTAACTTGCTAATTATGACCGTATTGCTGTACTGTCTGAGATGGTTGGAATACATGTGTCATAGTTTCAGCTCTTTGAAAAGCCCACGGACTTGTTTCCACCATAATGAACTGTTGTGTTGAACTGCCGCTGATCCAGACGGTGAGACCGTTTGGCCTGGAAAGTTGGGTCCATTTCACCTTCAATCCGGTTCTTGGCAAAAAACTGTTAATTTAGTCAATGATCCACAAACCTAAGTGGTTGAATCATTGACTTATTCGATCCATTCAACGATTTTTTGTTGTTTTTAAAACCTAGAACAGTTTCAGTTTTAGGTTTGTTTTTAAAACCTTGATTGTGGAGACCAAATCTGCTCCTCATAGGGGTGTCCACGGTTCGGTTAACTGAACCATGGACACATTTTACAAACCGAACCAGTCCTGGTTTTTGAATTTTTTTTAAAACTGAAACCGAACCAGTACCACTAGTTAACCGGTCCGTCGGTTTTGGTTTTTGATCGATTCGGTTCTTCTGTTTTTTCGGTTTTTATATTCATAATATATATTATATAAATATATGTATAATATTATATTATAAATAATAAATGATCTATAATATATTATAAATATTATAAAAATATATAATATATTTATAAATATAATATATGTAAATATTTATATAAGGCATATATATTTATATATTATATATAGAAAATATATGAGATATATTAAAAATATATATAAAAAATATACATATAAATATATATCGGTTGGTTCAGTTAACCATTGGTTTTTTTAGAATAACCGAAAGCTAAACCGATCCTTCAGTTTTTCAAAAATACTAAACCAAAATCAAACCAATCAATTTAATTAACTGCATTTTCTGATTTAATTTTTTCAGTTCAGTTTGATTTTTTAGTTTTTCATGGACACCCCTAGCTCCTCACATAACGTGCCTTACACCGCCCTCAGAACATATCCTCATCATACATCGGAAATATCTCTTATATTTGTATTTATTATTCATGCCAGATGTTCCCAATAAAACGGTGGGGTGTGGTTGTGAGGTAGGTGCGAGACGCGCTCAGATCCCAAGTCTCTCAGTCGTGATATTTCTGAGGTGGATTGCAGTCCACTTACTCTTTCGTTTTATTCGTCAAATACAATATGACAATTTCAAAGGCTTTTTTTTAATTCAATTAATTCGAATTCCAATAAACGAGTCAAATTTGGATCCGATTCAACTACTCCGAAGTCCGAACCATTTGCAAGCCTAGTCAAACGGGAGAAGTCCTTGCCACTTGGCCAAAATAGTGAGAAGCGAGAACGAGAAATCAGGTGAATCCAGCACCAACGACAGAGAGATGCAGCCCAGCGCATCATAACTCATAGCATAATGATAAATGCGTCTTTCGTTTTGTACTGAGAGAGAGAAAGTAAGAGGGAGAGAGGCCCAGAGGCAGAGATGAGATGACACGAGAGATGGAGTAGAAAAAGGAACAAATCAAATATCTGGCGGGAAGCTAGGGATTGAGCTGAGCTGTTGTGTTTCTCTCTCTCCCTCTCCCTCTCCCTCTCCCTCTCTCTCCTTTGAACACTTGGTCCCAAATAATTTTTTTTTTTGCTTTGGTGGGGACAGAGGAGTAGAGTGGGGCCAGTGGGTCAATTGATGTGGAAGGCTAACGGCTAATCAAACCAAACACAGCTCATCCAGCGGTGGTGCCCACAGTCAATAGCTGTGCGCCCACGCAACACACCAAGCATTTTTATCCTGTCTTTCTTTTTTTCTTTCCAATTCCAACCCTTTCTCATGTTTGCCGTGACAGATGACTCCCACCATTTCTGGTTAATTCGTTTCTCTCTCCCTCTCCCCCTTCCTCCTCTACGTATAGATTATATATTCAAATCTCTCATCCCTCTCTCCTCCAAGGCCAGAACCAGAATCCATTCGTTTTCTCGCCTTTTCTTCTTCTCTTTTATGCTTCTGAGAAGGAAAAAAAAGGGATCAAAACGGACAAAATGCTAAGTTTTTGCAAGAAGACTGTTCACTCTTTTCTGAACTTCTCTTCTCTTTCCGAAGGGGAACCGAGTAGAGACTTCCCAACCCACAGCCGAAGCCTCTCGTTATCGGCCGGCGCTCTCCGACTTTTACCCGGCATGGTGGGAAATCCGAAACCCACGGCCACCCCTGCCCAAGGCAATGAAAAGTTTGCCGATATAAATGGAGGTGTGGGTGGGTTCACGCCATTCACGGAGAGTCTACGGTTCGAGAGCTTGGACGAAAGAGGAAGAATGGACGACGAGGAGAATGATATAAGGGAGCCTCCCATGTCTTATTCGACGTCGTCGTCCACACGGTTGAGGCGGAGGGATATGAAATTCCCGCCACCGTTGACGTCGTTGGACGACAACGGCCACCCCACCTTCTTTCTCAAGCCGGTGAGGAATAATGGGAGGTTGGAGTTCACCATGGTCAGGATCGATAGTCCCCATATTCTCAGAGCTACCCGCCAGGATGGTCGGTTGATATTGCATCAAATCAAATCAGAACCCATCAGACAAGAAGAGGAGGTCCAGGTAAAAGAACAGGAACAGGAGAATGTATTAACCATCGACCAGGAGGAGAAAGAAGAAGAAGACAAAGAAAAGGAGTTGTCTCGAGAAATGGAAGAGGAGGAGGTACAACTCCAAGTAGGGGAGCGGAAACAAGCAAATGTATTATTACCCAGACACAGACACGAGGAGAAGGAAGAACAAGAACAAAAACAAGACATGAAGGAGATTCAAAGAGAAAAAGGAGGGGAGAGTGGGAGAATTGAGCTTCGGCAATGGAGGTTTCCGTTCACGAGCGGAGACGGTTTCCTGCGGTGCAACGAAGAGAGTAGCTACCATCAGCATCACCACCATCAGGTGCGGCCACTCTGGAGCCACCACTGTGTCACAACCATGTGATTTGAAGCAATGCAAGAGGCAACCATCAATCGAATTACCTTTCTGCTAAATTCAGCGGGAAAAAAAAAAAAAAAACAAGGAAAACCATGAGTCCATGAGGCCTCCGCTGAAATTGAACAGAGTTGACCAATTGCTAAAGGTGCTAGAATTCGAATAGATCTGTTGTTTTGGCCTGTTGGGTGGGTGGTCGCGTCACTCCCCGAAAAGTGACAACCAGGAGACAAAACAGCTGCAGTTCGTTAATGTCACAGAAATTACCCTCCAAGGAATTACTATTTCCTAGAGGGGTTGAGCTGGTGCCTGTCTGCCTCTGCATGGTCTTGTCTCTTCTGTGAGTCGTGATCCTTTCCCACTCTTTCTCCTGAAAAGAAATTGAGTTTTATTTGTACAATTTGTACAGAGTAAATACTGTCTGTTCTCCATGATCTTGTATATAATCAATCAGCAGATAGTAGACGTGAAGGAATTAATTGTTCTTGCCAAAATCAGTAACAGAAGGAAAACTTGGACATTTCACAATAGACAAATAAAGTCACCTCATCTCATTGCAATCGTCTGACATAAATTGCACTGAATTTAAGACCCTGACACAAATCTCAACATCTTACGCAATTTCCTACTTTTCCTTGCTGTTGTATTCAAGCATCACACCGTGACTTTCCCCTGTATTGGTTACTACTTTGGCCCGTTCGTTTTCTTTTACATGGGGTAAGTGATTTCATTGGGCAAGTGCTCCCTGAATAACTTTGATGCCAGCGTTCTTCCTGGGAAAAAGTTACCTGAATAATTTAAGGGATTGATGCGTTTAATAGGCAGGTAAGCAACTTATCCACCCCAGATGAGAGGGTAACCGATATTCTTTAGGCCCAGTTCTTTGCAGGTAAACATGCATGGCAAATTTGGTCAATGAATAACTTTTTCCTATTCACCAAATTTCTTATATTCTTTTTGCATTAAACAATGGGCTCCACAATAAAATTACCTTTATTTTCGTGGGTAAAACTTACCCATCTCCCAGATAAGTAACTGTCTCAGTTGGGAGAAATTTTTATAAAATATGATGGAATCATTTTACCCATTTTAATAGTTACTTTTTGTGGGTAGAAATGCCACTTTATTATTTACCTGGAAATCCTAAAAATCAAAATAACATGGGTAAGTACACTTACCTAGATAAATGCTTCCCGGGTAACATTTAATTGGGTAAGTGCACTTTACCCATAAGTAACAATGTTACAAACAAACAAGGCCTTGTAGCAGTGTAAGAACATAGGGAAATTGGTTACACCCCGTGAGGTACCGGCAAATGAACAGAGCATTTCCACTTATTAATCTCTTTCTCTACTTGTGTCCCCAAAATTTGGAAAGCTCGAGTCTCCGGATGAAAATGGCAAGATGGTATTTCTCCTCTGCAGGCATAATCTTTTTCTAGACAGCATTCTTCTCTGTTGAAGCATTGTTCTATGAATATGAAGTCTAATAATGCCAAGTACATAATATTAAAGATGACTGGAGATAAAATAGGATTTAATCAGACAAATATAACTTTACCAGGCGTTAGAATGAAGTTTTCTGTGGTCTACAGTAATTGTTGCATCACAGTTTATGCTTCTCTCTTCCATATGCATCCTCCTCTGCCCTCCCACAAGTTATACCAGCAAGGATCAAAATATTGATACAATATCAATATCAGTACACCTAGATATGCATCAATACACTGATAGACAGATATTTTAAAAGTTTTAAAACTTTGGGGTGCCTTATTTCATCCCCCCCCCCCCCCCCTAATATTTATGAAATAATAAAAGGGAACTATCGTCATATAGATATGCACCCATACCAAACTTTGGGTATAAGGTGAATATACCCTACAAACGTCAGTTCAGAAACAAACAGAAGGAAAGCAAGAACCATAACATTACAAACAATCAAACATCTCCCTTCCTAACAATAACTGCAGTGGAAGGGAGGTACAAACAATCTCTTTTCTTTGTGTGGGCTTTCAAAATAAGTCATCATTTCTGCAAGAGGTGCATTTACTAATTCCAGGGAAAAAGGAAACAGGTTGAAATTCATCCAGATTTCTCTAATCCAGTCAATTCCCATATCTAGAAAGTAGACCAAACAGTAACTCCAGAAATCTCTCCCCTTCTTAACTGCAACTGCAAATAGAAAGAATATACAGAAGAATATGTTTCTTTGCATAGTCTCTTTCAAATTAAGTGTCATTGAACAAATGTTTATATGATAATTTACAGACACAGTAAGTTGAGACTTCCCACACCAATCACTCCCATGTACAGAAAAAAATAGACCAAAATTAAGATATAAAAATTGAAAAAGAAAGGTTTCCTCATGTATTTGTCCTCCATATACCCCTTGAAGAAGAAGGGTTTATCCTTAACACTTTCTGTTTTGGTTGTCTCCGACGCATTGCAACATTTTCTTGAGTGTTACTGTCTACCTTTATGATATCAACTTTAACAATATGGTGATCAGAAGTCCCTTTTGATGAAATGACTGAGTATGACCCTGGGACGAACTTATATGGAGAGCCAGGTGATGTCAATATGTAATCCACTCTTGTCCCATACTTGCAAGTCCCCTGCACATCTGCAGAAGGAAATTCAACAATTAAATTAAATTATAAGGTAATATAATTGAAGTGAGAACATTATAATGGTTGAGCCAGGCTGGTTTGTACTTTGGCCTTTGGCAATCATGACCACAGATTCGCATTCCCCTGAATAGTCCTTGGCATCTACATACTGCTTCCCTTTCAAGAACTTCATTACTTCAACCTTTGGGGTTGGCTTTCCTATTTCCTCATAGTACTGCAATATATTGAATTTCTAATTGTAATTAGTAGTAGTCCTGTTTTTAATAATTGAACAAAAAAATTCAGCAATCATACTACTTTTACCTTCACAATATCCATCCACCTCTCTGCTGAATAATCTGTTTCATCAAGAGAATTGAGACCCCCGGCCAAGATGTGGGGCCCATCATTTGATTGAATTATTGCATTTATCTGCTTCATCCTCCAATTCTCATCCAAATGATCAAGATGGGTGCAATTGAAGTTCACTTCTCCTGCTTGGGGCACATCGACTGTAGCCTTCAGCACATTCCTATATTCCATATCAAGAAATCACAAATAAATTTCAAAAAATAGAAATTGTTCTAAACTTCATTGGAGCATAAGACAGAAATTTTCAGTCTTCTTGTTTTTTTTTTTTTAATGGAAGTAAACTAGACTTGTCCATATTTTTCTGGGTTTCATGCATTTGCTGATTACAAGTTTTACTATATTTATGGTCTACAATTTTAGAATGCTGGAACAGAAAGTAAAATATTGAACTTAAAATAGTTAGGACAGGGTTGAAGTGATAATGACAGCTGGGAGCAGTTTTTGAATCAGCAATCAAAATCTCAGTGGCAGACTTTCTCAAGCATAAGGTGTTTGAAATAAGTATTAATGGTGAATTCATTTTTAAAAGAACAATAGACTAATGTGAAATGAACTGGGACATTGTTTGGTGCAACAGTAAAATCATGGGCTAACGATTAATGAGAACGTGGGTTTGAATCTGAGGATGGCCAATGCCAAAGATTAGGTCCATATTCTGTCCATCCTTCCCAAGATCTCTGATAGGCAGGACCCAAACTGGGTAATGCCCCCTTTAATGAATATAAAACGAGATGAATGAGCAGTATCAAATGATTGGACTCCAGTAACAGACTGCTCCAGTAGATGCACAAGTGATTCTATTCCAGTAGACTGCTCCAGAAACAACTATCCAAATTAATTTTCAAACAGTGCTTGGCCAATACAAATTGCAAATGGAAATCTGACGGGACTGATGGAGCTTGGTTGCATAATACTTGCATATGGCTATCACCCAGTCAAAGGTAGATATCAAGAAAAGTAGCCTTCCTCTTCTCCTCACTTCTTGAGCTGTTAGTTAATAACCATTGCAAAATGGCCAGGCAGGAGCAGGATTAAATGCAAGAAATTCATTATTGGGTTTAATTTTCCCTTGATAATAAAGTAACACAAAATGTCTCCTCAGTTAGTCACTTGGTGAAAATTGAGTAGAAAAAGGATCTGGATTTGGTGTTCAGTAATCCACAAGTTTTTGAATTTACTTTCTCTGTTCTTTTTACACTGGCCTACAAGAAGAAAAGGAGATTTCTGTGATAATGACACAATAGACCATCAAACTGAGTAGCAGGCTCAACCAAGAAGATCTAGCGATCAAAACTAAGAACTAGTGTTCTCCATCTAAAGCTTATTATTTTACTTTCCTCGAGCAGGTGGTCCTCAAAGAAATGGAACCAACAAAACAGAGAACCTCGAGGACTAGTTAGAAATTGCAAACTAATTTTGTATTTTATGGATAGTAAAAAAGGATGTGCACCTGAAATCTGTATCGTCGTAGATTTTCTGAACATGCCACCTTTTAATTGGCCACTTGGACAGGACAGCATTCCCATACTCAGGAGCCCAGCTCTCAGCAAAAACATACCTCATGCCTAAGGCATTAGCCAAATCAGACAGAGGTTTCATTCCCTTCTCTTCTTCTGCCTTCACATCTTGCAGAGCCAAGATATCAGCATCCACCTCTCTTAGCACTTCCAGAATGGTTCTACTGCTTCTGAAGTTCTTACCATCTCCACCAGTTCTTATACTGCTAGGTAGGCTGAAACTGGACTTTAGTGGGGCTTTGCCTCTCTGGTTCCTGATTGTACTATTGCTTGAAGACCCCTTTCTGTCCTCTTCATCAAAACTTAACTGTCTACTGCGCTTTAAAGAGATTTCATTATCAGGGAGATTAATAGAGACCCTTAATTTTGATTTTGCAAACTTCTTTTGCCTAGACAGATGTTCAGGACTAGTCAGGGAATTGGGATACAGGGGAGATTGCTTGAGTATACTCTTGGGGCGATCGTTGACAAACTTTGCTCGAATATCAGCCTCCACATCATGCCTGACCTTCACATAACCTTCCCCTCCATAATCAAGCACAACCGTATTCTCAACCTTGGGGACAGCAGGAGCCATGGAGAACATAGCAGCATTGAATGTCGCAATCCGAATTGGCCTTTCAGATTTAGAACCACCGACCTGACGATTTGCATGGATCATTGACCCATTGGCGTTGGTCTCATCCTTGGGCTGAAGTTTTGGGTTTGACTTTCCGAACTTCCTGATGAGAACTTTGTGCTTGGAACGCCGCCGGATTGGCCACCGTAGTTTTGAAAAGAAGCGCCGGAGCCTACGATTGATGACACTAAGCATTGCAGAGAATTGGGAATCGCAGGTAACTACTGCTTGGGCACCTCCTGATTGCATCGCAAATTTGCAAAACCGAGCTACAGCCTAAAGCTCTCCTCTTTTTTTTTTCTTTTTGTTTGGCACAAGTGTGAAAGTAGATTAGTTAAATCTGGTTTTACTTGGGCAGGAGAGGAAGGAGTCTTCTGAGAAATAGGGTGGGTGACATTTGGAAGGTGGGTAGAGGATGACACGATGTGATGTGGGTAGACCTGTGACTGTAGGGAGAGAGAGAGAGAGAGGTCCCAAGTCCCAAGTCCCAACTGCTCGCTCGAATAGAGAAGTGGGGGTTTATTGGAGGGTTCAGAGATGTCGTTGAGCTCTTTTTCTAAGATACCAAAACCCCCCACCAACTCCACTCCATAGTCCTGGACTCCTAGTCCATGCAACCAGGATTCTTACAAGGAACGCCACGTCACCCAAAACACGCCTTATCCAGCTCCCTATGCACTTAAGTGGACCCCACGCGCAGTGGAAGATTAGTTGGTATGTGGGGTCTGGTCCCAAATCCCAAAGCTTTACTGGGGTCTGGGGGCAGTGGGCAGTGGCCACTGCTCAAGTCAGTGTAACCTCAAAATTCTTAACTTTCATTAACAGCTGCTGCTCCTCTCCTCTCTGTCTCTCTAATCCCCAAAATGTCAATGTACAGAAACTGAAGCACTACTGGGTTTAACTCCTTTCATAGGGTGTCTCCATGGAAATCTCTGAAACACCACCTAACACTTAATTAATTAATGGATTAAAACGAAATCCTTGATGGTTCTTCTTGGGTTCTGCAACTGCAAGATTCCCCCTCCTGAGCTTGGATGCATTTTCATAGAATTTACAGCACATGGGCATTTTGGGAATTGGAGTAAGAGCCAAAGCTAGCCATGGCCAGAGCTGCAGGCTGTCTCGTACAATTGGGCAAGGTCTAAAAGGTTGACAAATATAGCATTATTATAATCCAGTTATGATTTGTTTATGTTTCTACTTGAGATGTGGGTCAAGCTGATGGACAGACAGACTTGTCTTACTGAGAAAACACCAGCAATGCATGGGTTGGTCTTAGGGCCATAGAGATATCAGGAGAATGGACAGCTTTTCTGTCCTATCTGCTCTTGAAGATGCTTGTGGGTGTTGGGTCTCCTTCTCATCTTCCATCATGTGGGGTTACTGAAATTTAGAAAATGGAAAGCAGAAAAAGTGGGCAATTGCAGTACAGATTTAAAATATTTTGAGAGAGCAATATCTCAGTGAAAGATAATTGAGAGAGAACACAGACTAAACAAGCTTCACAGAGAGGGGTCAGCGCTAATGACAAATTGTGGATGGTTGGGCTCAGGAATCTCTATTATTTGGCGTGGATGATAGAACACCTGACTTGTTTTGCGTGTGCAGTATTCCACTTAGGTAGCTGTACATTGAATAGGTTTGTCTCCCAAGTCTATGGATATTTGGGTAGAGCTAAAAGTTTAACTCTTCTTCTCCTTCTTCTTCTTCTACTCAAAACAAATTTCTTAACCATTCTCTTTGTTTCTGTTCTTATTTTTCTTTTCTCCACATTCAACAAACTAATTAAGCTCAACCAAATTTGATCTACCTTGTCAATGCTTAACAACCCAATCGTACAATAATTGAACAACAGTCTAACCCAATCAAGGCTAGAAGGAAGCTAAGCAAAGCATCCATAATTCAAATTTCAAGTCAAGATTCACTGAGAAAAATATGGTATCCCTAGTCCAAGTGAATGATGTAGGAGCATCACAACCACAATTAGTCATTTCTATAATGTTAATAGTCAAGTGGAGTTCTAAGTATCAGAATAAAGAACTATCAGGTCTAGCAAGGAGCATAACCACCACAATTAGTCATCAGAAGGGTCTTTTTGAAACATTCATGTATGTCGGAAGGGTGGATTCTTTAGGTTCCGGTTTGAAAAGAGAACAAATATAAATACATACAGTGCAAATACATACAAAATATAAAGTTTTGCACTCTTCATATTTGTATTTATACTTCTTCCAAACTAGCCAAAGTGTATAAATTAATACAAATATGTTTAATATTAATAGATACAGAATAATACAAAATACAAAATTTTGCACCCTACATGTTTGTCTGTGCTCTTTCCAAACTGAGCCTTAATGTCGATTTGTCTTTACGAGTGGGAAGGACCATTTTTAATTAATACGGTTCTGGCATCAATTTACCAATCGTATACAATGCACAGTCATAGCTTTCATGGCTTTGCATTCCCAAGTGGGTAGGACAGAACAACATCAATGCCTCATTGCTCTGATGCTCATGTGATATCAACGCTGTCATCTCACCTTCCTTAGAGTCAACTCCTACAGATAGCAAACCAAACACCCCCTAAGAAAGGTAAAATAAATAAATAAATCAATTAGAGGAGTCATTATCCAATGGTGGTCCCAGCAATTTAGAGTTTTGGAAGTGGTAGACTGGATGCGTATCTGGGGATATAAACAAAGGGGAATGGCAGAACAGGATTCATGTAGATGAATCCATACAGTTACAGTTAGGGACAAGGCTCACTTAAACTGAATTGTAGAGTAGGTAAGGATTTAACAAAGGTTCAAAGTATAGAGCATTTCATCAGATCAATACTCTTTTTTCTTAACATTTTCAGTTTGACAATTTGCAAATTATCTTATTATTATTATTCAAAAGCCCCACACTCCATGTATTTCACATATGGGTGACTCAGGACCCTTTCATCTTTCTTTTTGGTAAGTGTGAATTCTAAGAAAACTCAAAATTTTCAAGTTTTTTTTTGGCAACTTACTATGTTAACCTTTCACCAAGAGAAAAGGCTGCCAAAATTCATTTAACAAGTGTTTAATTAAAACAAGAAAAGAGTAAGGATAAATATTCAATAAAAAAGATACGGTGCGGTATATATCAATACAATCATTTCTTTTTGGTTAATATATACATACAACCTTTGAACCTGCTAAGACCTAACCTCTGGAATTAGGGATGGCAAGGAGGAGGGTTTTGGAAATTTTAAACCCTACCTCCCCCTCCCCCTAAACCTCTGAACCTGTACCAGTCCCAAAATCTATAATGCGTTCGATTTTGACAATTTAAACCCTTATCCTACAATCTTATCATCTTCACGGAAGATCGGATTTAGAATTCACATCTAATTTCCTATTGTTTCTTGTTGTATATAAATAATAAAAATAACAAAAATAAATAACAAAATTTTCAATATCAATTATCCTTTACATAAAATTTAAAACATTATTAAATCCAATATCTAATACATAAAATTTATGTGCTTTCTAACAATATACAGGTTAGGAAGATTGGATTTAACCTAATATCATATCCTATATATACCCATGCAAATTGTAGAATTCCTCCAAAACACATTCCTGACCTAAAACCCATCATTCGCGCAAAAAAAAAACCACCGGATAGGATAAAATTATTATTATCCCTATCTGAAATTGAGCAGGGTGGCTGCTCTCAAACTTAGAGCCTAAATAACCTCACATGATTGTCCTCACTGTTCTTTTAAACCCAAAATCAAGATATAATGTCTTGGTTCATTGTACTTCTAAAGGAAAGAACGTAGTAGTTAATATCAACCTTTTATATGTCATGTTGCTTCCAGTTCCATACAAAGGAAAAACGAAGAAAAGCCATTAATTTGTGTGTGAGGATTTCAACTCTTAACAGAAAATCCAAGAATCGGGTGACATCCCAGCAGACTAAGTTCTTTAGTTTTGTTTTGCAGAAATTTACAGATATGTGGTCCATTTCTACGGGAAGAATGGCCTATTTTGAATGAAATTGAATTCTTTGTAGTAGGCACTTAGCAGTGGTCTTGAATCTTGATAGTCGGTCTATGGGAAGTGATGAACAAGGGGGAACCTTCAAAGCTCTGAAAACTATCACTATTACTGAGATGCCTGAGACCCTAAATTTTGGCGGGTTGAAGTTGAATGAACCTTCTAAGAACATCAAAGAAGCAGTGAGAAGAAGCTTGCTCAGAGGAAAAGAAGGTAACCCCAACCCCAACCTTAATCTTGAAACTCCGATAACAGTCGTATTGTCACCGGTGAAGCCACAACGAGATGATGCAGCTTTTTCGAGATGTAAGGTCGGCGCCCTCTCAAAGGTGGACAATGAGGGTGGCTCGATAGTTTCCTTTTCAGTGAATGCCAGCATGGAGGGAAGGAAAAAGAAGCTAGTTGTAAGCTCAAGGAAGCTCATGGTCGGCTCACAAAAATGGAGTCACCACCCTTTTTAGAGGAAATGGGCCCTCATTTTTAGATTCGAAGATTGGTTTATTTGCTTTGATAGTGACTCCATTCTTCACCAAGAAAGGCACCTAGCCGAGTCTTAGGTACTGATTTCCCTAAGACTCTCTCCTCTCTACTTCTTTTTCTCAACCTGGATAAAACCAGAAATGCAAGTTTCCTATGGTTTTGGGACCTCAAGCAACTTAGAACATTGAAAACTGAGATTTACGAATTTAGGAAAAAAAAGCAATGGTGAAATGAGAGACCTACCTCTCATGTGCAACCTTGAAAGGTTTTCCAGCAGCTAGAGAGGCTTCAAACGAAACTTAGGTGAGCTATCATGTTAGGATGAGCATTTTTGGCTTTAAATATGTACTCTAGAAAACATGGGAAGTAGATTTGCGGCTTGGACTTCAAGGACTTCGAGGTTTTAGGTGAAATGGGTGCATTGCAAAGACTAGGACAATGCTCTTCTCTCCCCCCTTTTTTCAAGCTCAAGTTGGGCCTCTATTTATAGAGGAAAAGAGAGGGAAATGGGTAATTCGTTTAACTACAGTGTTTGCGATTCAGTAGAGTTCTTTCACTGAAACAGGCAAAGATTTTGAAAGAAAAATGCTTACAATTAACCCTTCTTTCTTTGTGCAATAAATTTTCTCAAGTTTGGAAGGCTTTTAATGGATTTCGTGCGTCCAATGTGGGCTCGGGGCGTGCTAGACGTTGCAGCCCCATATTTGGGGCTAACAGTGGCAAAAAAATGTAAATTTGATGAACTTTTGAATGTAGTTTTGTCATTTCTTAGTTTCAAGTGGGGGTCTGTTTGGTATTTTGAGCTTTTTAAGCCTATTAGGCTCAAATTTATTGGTCCAGGTGTTTTAATTGGGTCAAGTAAGGAGCTGACATCAGTCCCCCACCCTCTTGAGATCCTAGGATGGGACAGTTGATGTGATAATTCAATCTGGTGTGTAAAAATGGCATCTCCCGAGTTTAACGGTCAAGCAGGTGAATTAAGATGCGGAATTTGGCGTGCTGGGTTTTTTTGGGTTTCTGAACATGTTGGTGCAGTCCAATTTGTCGAATAAGGCTTGGATCAT